TAAACATAGGGGCAGAGCTGACCTTAGCCTCTATCTCCCACAGTGGGACATCTTCACCAGTCTAGCTCAAACCCTTGCACCCCGAGGCATCCAGACAGACCAGAACAACTAAGCAATAGAAACTACGCATACAGCAGCTCAGGTCACTGCAGCCTCGAACACACCAGGCCACACCCCAACTTCACAGAGCAAGCTCAGGCAGTGTCTTCCACGTCCCAGACAAGTGCCACACCACACATGCACACATCTACATGCACACATACACCTACTCATCCCACCTGCTGCTGAGTAGCCCCTGTCAGCATGAGGATGCAATGAGGCTGGAAGTATAGGTTAAACTGTCTGCAGGAGCCCACCCTCAGCTCTTCAGACACCCTGGGTTCCATCCTAAGTGAAGGTTTTGTAGTCTACCTGATCCCAGTCCTTCCCCAGCAAGTCTCCAGGGAGAGCCAGAGGTCAGTTCCTAGGCTAGCCCATTCCTCCTATGTAGAGGACCTTGAGGGCTACAGACTGGAGAGGGGAAGGATGTCCTTGTGTAGGGACAAGGCACTTCAGAATCCTGGGGTTTTGAGCAGGGGCTATCTGACTTGCGCCAGTGTGTCCCTGAGACACTCCTTCACGAACTCTGGATGGTTCTAGTCTATTGCAGGGTTAAGGACACTATCACCCCATCACCTGCTGATGCCTTCACCCCTCCAGTCCCCGAAGCACCCCACTATCTCCTTCTCCACCCCCAGAACTGTACTCAGAGCTCTACCTGCCATACTGTACCTTCCCAAGGAAAGAATAAAAGTCACACTCCCCGTGATCTTAGCCACTCTCCGTAAGACTGACTCCTTCAGTCCCCTACTCTTAACTAATGGGGGGGGGTCCCTGAATGCAAGCTTCACCTTTGCCCTCTTCTAAGAGTCCCTTCCGGGCACTTTGAGGACAGGGGAATGGACTCAGCTCATCCTTGCTCTCTAGTAAATGCTACTATAAATGGCTGTCCCCATCTTGGGAAGGATATTCAACCACACTCCTCCCTGTGGATGCCCGTGTCCTTCCTGCGGGACACTCTCAGCTGCTTCCTCCTCTGCCTGCCAGCAGCAATGTCACTGCTCAACTGCCACGGCCTCAAAATTCTCTGCTGCAGCATCTTCCACCTCAGGATAGCTTGGACCTATGATTTATTAGCACTTTGCTCCCAAGATCCTTTCCAACTATCCCCACCTCTCCTTTCACCACCCATACAACTAACAGCCTAGCAGGAGGGCTTGAGTGTCCCAGGCTTTAACCTGCCCGTGTGCCTTGTCAATCAAGTCCCTAGACTGGCTTCTTTACTAGCTCTTTCTACAAAGGCCTCTTCTACCACCCTAGGCTATCTGACCCAATCTCTAACCCTGGGCCACAGCAGCGCCTGTTTCCTGTTTCTGCCTCCTCCACGCTGCAGAAAGTAGGTGGAGACGCTGAACACTGCAGAGCTCCCCAAACACTGCAGCACCTGCCACACCCTCCAGCCCCAGCTTCTCTGTCTGGTAGTTGGCTCTGCCAGATTCCCAGTTGCCTTCCCGACAGCAGCTGTTCCAAACCTTTTCTATCTCCTGGAGCCCCCCACAGCTTGGCCCCCTCCCTCCCACTCACCGATGACCTCACCGCTTAAATGCCTGGCAGCTAGCCAGTTTAACTTCCCTCATCCTTCTTTCTTTCCAACCAAACACTGTGTGTCACCCTGTCCTTGCTCCCTCCGGGGCCTCTGAGGTCAACTGCTGCTCTCAGGGATCTCTGGCCTAGTCTCTGCTGGCTTCTACCTCCTGGTTGAAATGCATACCTGGATTCTCTTCCCCTAACTTGAAGCACCTAACACACACACACACACACACACACACACACACACACACACACACACACGAGAAAGAGAGAAAGAGAGACACAGAGCGAGACTCACTCTGTAGTCTGATTTGAACTCCTAACAATCCTCCTGCCTCAACTTCCCATGTGCTGTGACTTACAGGCCACTATACTCAGCTTCACCGCCAAACTTTGAGAGCGGGCTACACTAACAACTTCCATGTTTTCGTCAGTTGTTCACTCAACTTTGTCACCACCATAGGGCACCAACAGTCCCAAGGCCATCGACGGGGTCCTAAGTCACATCTCTGCTTATCTGAGTCCTTGTTCCCTAAGCCCACACTGAAGAGCCCCAAGGTCGCCTCATCCACTTCCAAGGATCCCATCCTGGGATTTTCCTCCATTCTCTTTACATGACCCAAGGTTCCTGAGGCCTTTAACTTCCGCTACGGAGTTCTTGAAAGACTTGTCAGCTATCTCGTGGTATGTATGGCTACGTGCACGTCTCTGGCTCGAGGGCTGCCCCTGAATTACAGTCCTACAGTAGTTGAATGACAGATGCAGCTGAAAGAGAGTGCGCCTGAAGCCTGTTGCTCAACACGCTGACAGCTGGACCCCTCCTCTTCCCGTCCAACCATTTCCCCTTCTGCACTTCTCTATTTGGTCTGTCATACTGTCATTCTCCAGCACGCCCAGGCTCTGAGCCCTCCTGGCATTTGTGTTCTCCTACCCCAGCTGCTTATCCGTCGCCTCCTTCTGGAGGTTCTTCCTTTGGAACAGCTCTCATCCGTGGGTCTTATTTCTCACTGCAGCTAATACTACTGTGGCCCAGGAGTGAACTTGCCTGCTTCACAGACCTCTTTACCTCTCATATGCATCTCGGCTGGAAATACTATAGAAAACTTCCAAAAGTATTACTTGTCCAGTCCCTCTGGACAAACCACACACTACTGAGAAACCATCAGTGATTCTGTAGTATGTACAAGCTCGCTGTTGGAGATTTCTTTACCTAGGACTTCTGCCCTCTACCCCCACCAATCTTAAGTACAGCTCAAAGCTCTTCCCATAGGAACCTTGTGCTTCCAGTCCTCCAAGCAGCCCCCGCGTGTTCATAACCTTGAATTCTGCACAGGCTATTTCTACCTGAGTGCTATTCCTGATCCTTTCTCGATTCTCAAGCCCTCAAATACTTGAAGGCAGACCCACCTCATGAAGCTGTTCTGAACTTGCCAGTGCCCATGTTGGCTCCTACTTTCAAATCCCTGTAACTCAGATTCTGAGCTGTAGGAACTCGGCAACGCTTCTTCCTACACCGTGTCTGAGTACGCACAGGCATTTACAGTGACCGGCCAGAAGACCACCAGGTCCCTTCAACTCAGAAGATCTCTGCTCCTGAACTAACAGACACCTGTGCTGTCTATTTCTAGTCTGAGCATTTATGTGCAAGACTAAGAAGATAAGCCCACTTGCTCTTCGCCATCACTGTTTGGGGTGGGTGGTTATTTCAAAGAGAAAAAAGGGGGGTCTCAAAGTTCACCCAACTTGACTAAGGTCTAACAGTTTGTGAGAAACAAGCTAGAAATTCTACCCCAGACCCATGACTTCAGAAGGCTGAACCTGTTTGAGAGATCTCTCCTGCCCCCTGCCCCAGCCTCCAGAGCACAGAGCACACAGTCCCTGGCACTCAGCTGAGGCTGGCCCAGCAGGTGTGTACTGGTGCTGACTACACTTTTATCTTTAGCTGTGCCCTCGGGTGCTGAAAGTGCTCAGCAAAGCCAGGAGCCTTGGGATTAAGTCAAGGCCCAAGAACGGGGAAAAAGTAAGGTTGGGCTAGTGATCTCATTCTCACCTTTAACATTCTGGAGCAGAGATACAAGAGAACACTGTATCCTTTTAATTCTAAGCCCCTGCTGTTCTCTGCCTGCTGACCCAGGCCCCAGCTAGTACTAGGTGCCCCCCACCCAAGAACTTTCTCTCTGCCCCACCAGATAACCTCACACTTCCCCCACTGCCACACCCACTCTGGCTCCTCCCCTGCTCTACCCCACCCTTACCCCACTTGCCCTTTCATCTGTAGTCCCACTCCAGCCCCTGGCCTCAGCCTGTGGCTTCCTCACCTGGGTTTGGTTTTGGTTCTGAGCTGGTGGAGGCACTGGGTGCTGCTTCTCTTGCACTAAGGGCTTCTCTTTCTGCTGAGCATAGGTGAAGCTTGGGGGCTGAGGGGACCCTGTGCCCACAGAAGAGGGAGCTTCCAGAGGCACCGCTGCTTTTTGATTGGGCTGTGACCCAGGTCCACTGGGGGCACCAGGGCTGAACTTGGGAGCCACGGGAGTAAACTTGGGAGCCACTGGAGCAAACTTGGGTGCTGGAGTTGGAGCCTGAGAAAGGGGACCTCGGGCTTGTGCATTAGTGGAAGACATCGGCTGGGGCTGGACCTGGGGCTTGGCCTGAGGCTGGACATGGAGCTGGACCTGAGGCTTGGCCTGCGGCTGAGGTGGTGGCTGGGAGCTAGAAGGGGTCTTCCAAGGAGGCAAGGGTGCTGTGCCCCCAGAGACAGGCTTGGTACTAGGCTTGGGAATAAACGGAGTGGCAACTGGTGGGGGTACATAGCCAGATGACACCTACAAAGGGAAACAGAAGAGGGAGAAATGCATTTAGAGAAGGCTGTCACCCCCTCCTTACATTCCCTCCTCTCCTTCTGGGCCCCAGCCTTTCCTACTAGCCTGCCCCTTACCCGGGCTTTGAAGGGATCGTTCTTGGTCATGTCATCCAGCAGTGAGGACAGAGAGTCGATCTCCAGGTCAATACTGCTCACTTTCTCCCTGGGCTGGAGGGTCAGGGGTCAGAGCACCCATCCCAGTCTTCCCTTGACATCCCAATCCCATCGGGGGAGAGTAAAGACTCCTCTCCACTCAACGGAGGTGTCCCCCACCCCACCTCACATAAAACTGCCCTCCAAGGCCTTCCTACCTGCGGTGGGAGCTGGGTGGGGGCCTCAGGCCCTCCCTCCTCCTCCAGGGGAGGTGGTGGAGAGGGGAAGATTTCCTCCTCCAGAGGAGCTGGGGGGAATGGTTCCTCGATCATCGGGGGAGGCGGAGGTGGGAAGGCACCCTCGGAGTCGTCGCCCTCGCCAATAAGGGGAGGAGGGGGCAAAGGAAAGTCTAGGTAGGAAGGAGAGAGAAGGCTATCAGTACTGGCCCTCTTTCCTCCTCTCCTCAGCCAACAGTTCTAACCCCCTAATCCAAGAACTCTTTTCTGCATCCCAGAGTGTGTGCGGACCATAACCAGGGGCTCAGGACGCCCTGAGAGAAGCAGGTCGAGAAAGGCCGGGGATCGGCTGAGGAACCATGCAGCTCCCGTTACACTTCAGAGAACGGATCCAAAGGGGAAGATTCCTGGCCCACATTCCCGCCTCCCACCCCCAGGCGGGAGACTTGGAACAGTCCCAAGGGTCCTGGCTCCCAGCCAGGAGCTCCAAGATGAGGTAAGAACATCTGCTCAGGACAGGGTGGCTGCGCCCAGCCCCCTTCCCAACAGCCTTTCCAGACACCCCCAAATTCCCCAAACCTCCGACCCCCACCTGGCGCCGGAGAGGGATCGGGCCCCCCAAGCACAGCCACATACCTTCCGGGGGCGGCGGGGGGATCTCGCCCACCCGGCCCATTTGTGCTCGCTGGGCCCCAGCTGCCACAGAAGGTTCGCTGTCCCCAGGCCGGAAAGGATTCACTTTGGGCTTCGGTGCCACAACCGGGGCGAACTTCTTCTGCGGGGCGTAAAACGCCGGGGCCGAGACGGAGACGGAGATCGCGGGAGGCGGGCGGGGGGCCGCCATGGCCAGGCCGGGCTGCTAGGGGGGTGGGGTCGTCAGGTTACGCAGCGCCGTGCCGGGCTGACACCTCTCGGTCCAAGCTCCCCTCGGTGACCCCACCCGCGCCCCCCCTGAGTCCCCTTCCTGGGGCGGCGGAGCGGCTCCCCGCACCTCACCGCGGCCAGGAGCTTGAGCGCCGCGTCTCGGGTGACCGCGTCGGCGCCGAGTCCGCGGACTCTGCGTCCCGGTCCGGAGCAGCCTCTAGCCAGGCGGGGAGGGACGACGTGCAAGGGAAGGGAGGGAGGGGGCGGGGAGAGAGCGGCGCCCAGACCATACAAGGAGCGGCCCGGAGAGGGGGCGGGGAGAGGCCGGGGAGGGCGGACTGGGCAGGAAACTCCCCCAGGAAGGGGCCCGGGTCCTGCCCCGGGCTCCAGGCTCTTCGAAAGTCCGCCTGTGGCCTCCCCACTCACCACCGCCCCCGCCGGGCATAGACCACCCTTCCCCAGCACAGGCCTCTGATGTCATTTCCTGACCTGCCACCTACCCCCCCCAACCCCCCTCCCGACCCGCGGGTGCAGGAGATCTGACTCACCGTCCCCACTCCAGGCTGAGCGGGCCGGCGAGTATCCCAGAGGTCCCGAAACAGCTCAGTCCCGCTCCCCCTGGCCTGCCTGCCATTGACTGACCCCCGCCACCCCCTGCAGCTCCAGCTCCGCGTCCCACGTGTCCTGTGGTCAGTCGGGGATCGCAGGGCTGGGATGGGACTCTGCTCCTGGGTGGGCGGGGATGGTGAGGGGGGCGTTAGCCCTGCTGGCACCCGGCTCCCAGCTGGGCCTTGTGTAACCTACCAGTGTGTGAGCTAGAGCCTAAGCGCTCTTGGGGGATGCTAACTTCCAAAACTAGGCAGCCTCTTAAGGCTTCTAGGAACTCGCATAGCCACAGACCCTGCCTGCAATCTACTGCCCCAGGGAAATAGTCCAGAGCCGCGAGTCAAGGAAATGGAGGCGCGAGGGCTCAGTCTGGGTGAGGCCGCTCTGGGACTTACAACCTAGGTAGACCCAAGTAGCCTCCGGAGACTAGTCCTTGAGGGTCCTTCGGCAAACCTTCCCCAGTGGGGTGTCAGCGGCTCACGGGGGATAAAGCTCGGTGGAGCCCCCCACTGGTCCAACCGGATTCCTCAGCCTGAGACTGCGCCGCAGGCTACATGAAAGAGATCTGACACAGCTAGTGTCTGCCTATCTTACTTACTCTCCTTCCTTCCTACCTTCCTCCTCTTCTTTCTTTAGGTAAAATTACACACGGAAACTTCTCGCACATTCCCTACGTCCTAATTAAAGAGTCATGCGTTCAGGCCTCTAGTCCAACATTCACCCACTCACCACCACCACCACCACCCCACCACCCCACCCCACCCCACCCCCGCCCCCCCGTCCCGCGCACCACCGCCAGGGTGCTCCCTTTAGTTTTACCCTGTAATCCCGACTGGTGTCTGAGACACTCCTAACACTCAACCCTTGTGAGTTCCTAACTCTTGGCGCTCCCCATCTGCTGCTCCCTACTGCCCTGGGCTATGGTTTTGGGGGGAATGCAAACTAATACCATGAATTTGGGATGAAAAAACGGGGGCATTACCTGAAGAGATGGCCCCAGGGGCTAATTCAGGTCAGAGTTAATTAGCTCCCTTGGCAAAGAGTGAAGCCAGGGAGCCCAATTTTGTAGTCCACGGACAAGTTTCCTCATTCATTCGGTTTCATTGCCTCCATCTGTAAAAGGGATGTTTTTTTAATTCATTTACCTGCTGGTTTATGTGAAGAAATAAATAACATGCCATGCCTGAAATTTTTATATCGTTCTCAGTATTACCTACCATGCAAGTCCTAGGCTGGCCAAGAACGGAAATTCCCAGCCAGTGAACCTAGGCAGCTTTCCCTCACAAGCTCCCTTCTAGCTGGCCGGGCAGGTCTAATGCGTCTTGGTACATTCAATGCTCTTTCCTTCCTTCAACCTTAAGTCTTTAGTCATATCTGTGACTATACATTCATCATCTTTCTAGGCCCCGCTAGTCTCTTTTCTCTGTGATCTTAATGTTTCCATCAACAATAGTTTGCATACCATGGGTGGCCATGTATGACACAGAGTGCGCAGGTGCTCACACTAACATGCATAAGCTGGTTCCAGGCCTGTCCCTATGACGGTCTGTTGGAAACTTGATACTGGATTTACTCTACATGTTGGAGATTGTTTCTTGGGCTTTTGAGTCCAAGACTCGTCACCATCCTTCCAAATATGCCCATGTGGGGAAATGGAGATAGTTTCCAGATAACTTTATAAGAGTAAAAAACGACCTACCCTCCCAAAGCCTCCTTAAGGAACATCGAAAAATAGAGTATGTGTAATTGTTGGCAGCTGAGCCTATTTATAAATCAAGAATAGGAGAGTGTGTAGGCAGACTCAATTTCACAGACAACTAAGAGCATTCAGGATGCAGAATATTAGAGCTAAGAGTTTTAAGGCAGCCATTCTAAATACTAATGAGAAATAAAATAGAATTCCCCAAAGGGTCAGAATGACTGGCCCAGGATGTCTCAGATCGAGGGTATAGTCAATGCTTTTAATGTACAGACAGCAAGCAGAAATTACCCTAATGATTCTTGGGTGTGTTTCTTAAGCAAGCAATTCTATTTGGTGTTCTTGGATAGTATGAGTAATGTGTAGGAAATCAGTCAATGTCTCCACTTCAAGCACGTACTAGATCAGGAAAAGAAAGCCAGAAAATGGTCACTGACTTTGGCTACTAAAATATCCCTACACACTTCCAAGGCTTTATATGCACCAGATATGGGTAAGTATTTTCCCCGCAAAGGTGTACAGTACAAAGTATGGCATTCAAAGCATTCTTTATGGAAGAAGCAGCATAATGACTAAAGAAAAAATTCCAAAGCAGAGCCAGAGATATTATCGGCCATTTCTTCTATATGCTGGCTGCAGGCAGGCAAAAGAGGAATGACGTGACACACTACCTTAAGCAGCAGCATACTGCTGAAACAGTAGCAATGACTGCCATAATTGCTCACACTCAGGACAGGTACACCTCAATGGTACAGTGCCTGCCTAGCATGCCTGACTATGCACAGAGAGAGAGAGAGAGAGAGAGAGAGAGAGAGAGAGAGAGAGAGAGAGAGAGAATACATTGTCATTGTTGGTTGTTACACATTTCTAAGCTGTAGGAATATATTACTCCCACTTAGTATTAACAAGAAATCCATGAGGATGTATTATTATTATTACTATTATTACCTCATTTGGCAGTTAAGGAAACTAAAGCTAACTGGATGTTGGATTTTTTTTTCCCAAGCTACATACTTTTTTTGGTAATACAGTGTGTTGGTTAGTTTTTTTGTCCACGGCTAAGGTCATCTGGGAAGAGGAATCTCAAATAAGAAAATGCCTCCATCAGATTGCCTCTAGGCAAATTTGAGATATTTTCTGGATTTATGATTGATGTGGGAGAGCCTGGCTCAATGGGGGCTGTGTCATCCCTGGACAGGTGGTCCTGGGGTATATGTAAGAGCAAGCTGAGCTAGCCATGAGGAGCTGGCCATGAGGAGCAAGCCAAGAAGCAGTGTTATTCTATGGTCTCTGCTCCAGTTCTTCCCTCCATGTCTTGAACTTTTGTCCTGGCTCCCCTCAATGACAAACTGTGACCTGGGATGTAAAAGCCAAATAAACCCTTTTGTCCCCAGGTTGCTTTTGGTCATGGTGTTTATCACAGCAACAGAAAGCAAACCAAGATACACATGTTCTTTACTATTTTAAATATTCCTGCCTACTTCTTATTACCCCCTCCAGTCTTACTTATACCATTGTGTTCCATAACTTCTCTTGCAGTCCAGCTTGGCGCCCCCACAGACTTTTAAATTCTGCCTCCACTGGACCCCACTACTCACTTTCTGTCATGCCACACCATCAGATTCTGTCTGCCCAACTATGTGCCAGAACACACACACATGTATTCTGTATTTGTACACTGTATAATCCCGTTACATACCGTCATGTTGCCAAGAGGTTTCTCAGGATTGTTAACATTAGTTGTTAGCTTTGGGGACTAGAATCAGGGATAGCAAAAGACTTTTATACGGTTGTATTTCCCCACGAATATGAATCGCTTCTGTAATCTAAGAAATATAAGAGAGGAGAGGAGTGAACTCTATCACATCTCTTTGCTTTTGCAGAGTGTGCTCCTTACACTGAGTGCTGCACACACGTGGCCTACGGTTTCCCACTTGCAGCCCAATGTGTTGTTCCCCTGGTCCCAGGGGCACGTGCTGGCCAGTACAAAAGACTCTGGGACTTGAGAATGGAGACTAGATGAAGGTGGAGCTTTGTGGCCAAGGCCCCAGTGAGCAGCTTCCTGCTATGCCCAGCTGCCACTCCCCCCAGTGGAAGGGCAGGACAGACAACTACAATGTCACTGGACCTCGGTTCTTTCAGGTCAGCCCAAGTGGCTGATGCCATAGCTTCCTCCTCTATGCACTTTCTCTTCCTCTTTCCCAATCTCAGGTCAACCCACATTTTCAAAAAAGCTTCCACGTTCTAGATAGCCTAGTCCTTGCTCACAGAGGAAAAAAAATAAAATAAAGCTATGTTGTTGTTTTGTTTTTTTCAATCTTCTACTC